TCTCTCAACGAGACTAGTGAGTGTTGAGCAAACCCCAGAATAACCTCCACTACAAAGTTCTGTATACAGGGAAGGCTAATTTTAGAGCTCAGAATGCAACAAAAACATTGATTCCTCAACATCTGGATTCGTAATGTGGTTTTAAAAAGTAAAGTGTATTTTTATATATATACATATATATATATCATAGGCGTGCTATAATGGCATCCCATGTTTATTGATAACTGTAACTGTCATAATCAGTGTACAGAACTGTCAGGAGACGTTTTTAGCAGTTAAACATCGCCCAGTAGATTTCTTCCAGCCTAGTACCATGAACCTGCAGTCATGCTTATTGGGCAGGGTTGACAGGAACTTGAGCTAAGCTCCTCCTATATCAAGGTTATAAAATCTTCATTGTCTCTCCTTCCAAATGTTATGGAAAATAGATTGGAGTAATGCTTTGACAACCTAGTTGACACATTCAAAACATTTGTCCCAAGTTTCTTAACAAACTGCAAATCTTAAGGCTGATCCAAATAGTGCTCTTATATTCATATCTCAGATACAATATTCATCTCTGATATTCACCTCTTTCAAACTGAGTAACTCTATTGCTACTGACTGAAAACTTCACACTTACATTATCACATGTTAATATGTAAAATGTTCTTACTTACAAGAATGTGGTATAAACTTTTGCCCCATTCTCTCAAATTGTTACTTGTTAATTCAGTAATATATTGAGATTGATTCTAATTAAAATTAATGGGAATATTTCCACTGAGTCAGGAGTCCAGCTAAAGGCAGTAAGGGCCAGATTTCCAAAAAAATGCATTGAATAACGTAAAATGGTGGTTGTGCTGCTAAAATGTACAACATTATTTTGATTCTTGAAGAAGAGAGACCACAAACTATAGCTTTCAATTCAAAATTGGAGAATTCCCCAATACTCTAATCAAGTGTAAGTGACTGTTATGGACTGGCTAAATATATTTCTAGAATTTAAAAACAAGAACACCCAGGATCATATTCAGTTTGGCCTTGCTTCCTTAAAGAAGCCAAGCAAGGAGATTCAAAGGAGACAGGTGTGAGAGTGGGGTGTGCTACATTCACAGTATTTTTCATACTCTGAAGAGGAATCCAAAGTCTTGTGTTTGAGTTTTGATATAAAGTTTGATGAAATTCCAATTTTGAAATTACCCTGGTCTGAACAAATTTTGTTTGTCAAGCCAGGCAGAACTGGCTTAATTTCAAAGATTTGGACTCTAACAGAATAAGGTAGAAATTGCTTCAGATTGTTCTGGGAAAAGCTGGAAAGGAAGAGTTGGTGGTCTACCAGCACTATCACTGAAAGAATTAGTGTGCGTTTCCAAGGACAGGTGCAAGCAGTTGCACTCACTCCACTTGGATGGAGGTTCTTTTCATCTGGGCACTGAGATGACACAGTCCAGAAGCTACTTAGTGATATTAACAAGATGTTGTGTCTGAAATAATATATCCTGCTTATTAGTTCAGGCCTAGTGTCGTGTAAAAATAAATTTCTGGTTCTCAGATTGAGCTGACTCACAGCATATGAGTGTAATAAACTCACTCCCACCTGCTGCCTCCATGGAGATACAGTGGTGAAAACACCCTCAAGAGAGCCCTTACATGGCAGGAGGTAGAATGTAATAGAAGATGATGAACTTTTTTAATAATCATTGTATGAAAAGTCACAATTAAATTACAACTAAAAGCTATATTTAAATCAAACCCCTTTCAGAAAATCCTTTGATAGTGAAAAGCAAAAAGAGTTGGCAGATTGGAAATTATCTACACTGTAGCAATTAAAGGGAGAGAGATTCTACATCTTCATGCTAGAGCAAAAGAAAACTTAAGCAAATAAAGCAGAGCTGAGTCAGAAGTGGGTTACTGACAAATTAAAGCTGTTGAAATATGCTTGCTGGAAAACGAGGAAGGGATTAAAAAACAAGCTCCTGTGGAAAATCTGCTATCTTATTCCAGAAAAGCAGAACCAACTTTAAAGAAGGACTTTCAAATAAGAGGCAAATTGGCAACTTCGTAAGAAAGCAGTGGATAAGCTCTAAGCAGCTTGGTTTATCAAATGGAAATTTGCTTTCAAAAGGGGTACACTGAAACAGAAATAAGCAAAACAGGGAACTTTGCCCAGGAGTGAGCCTCCAGCTTATTTGTAGGGAACACACTGATCAAAGCTTGCCAAAACTAGAGAGTATTTAAGGTCTTGTTAACACAACTGACAAAAATGAAACTTTATTTTCAGCTATTAATAGCAGCGTAAGAGCTACAATGATCAAGATTTAATCTGAAGTAGATAGAACTGTTTCAAGTAAATTGATTCTAACTTGAGATTTCACCCTGTTCTTGTTCAATTAAAAAAAAAAAAAAAAAAAGTCACCACTGATTTCTGACACGATGACAAAATGACAACATACAGTGATAGAGGCTTGCTCAAAAGGAGCTCAGGCTTCAAATGAGATCTGATTTGAGCAGTTACACACCCCTGTGAATGAAAAGGCAGAGAGGAAATCTCAGCTGGGGAAGGGAACATATACTGTGGCAACTAACATACAATTTTATGAAATCACTACATGAGACACAGGTCAGTGAAACTATCAGCAAGGGTGCTGTCAGGGAAATCACAAGATAGCACAGATGAAACTAAATGCACTACTTCTAATTTACGAGGGATGCCATGCATACACTATCAAGCATCCATGAAACAGATAGGATAAAGCTTAGTACTACATGAAAAGGGAACTGCTGCATAGTAGCATGTTTCTACAATTTCCAATTGACAGAGTACTGGCCTCCAAGTGTGTTGAAGTCAATGTCACAGAAATAATGTCTAAAAAACATTCTGTGAAAAATTCAAAGAATTACTGTAAACAGGAGATTTTTTTTTTTTAAGCTATTATTGGAATTCATGTGATTTGCTCATGTTTCAGTTAAGCTTAGGTCATGACATTTTGACTGCTGGTGTAGTATTGCATGGACAAATAAGAATACTTGACCAACGCCGGTAGCTTTCTACAGGAGTAATCCTGTACAGAAATATTCTTCCTACTCTCTCTGCTAAAATCTCAAGTCTCTGCTCTGTTATTAAAATGCATGAATGTTTTCCTGTCAGCCTCTACAGTCGCTCTGCACATCTCCTGATGGAGTTCTTCCACTTTGTACAATTTAATTCAATGCTCCTAGGACCAGAATGAGGGAGATTGACTATAAAGACATGTGAGAAACAAGAGTAGTAGCTTGAACACATATATAATTTATATATAGTGGAGCAGTTCCAACCAGACGGTTTGAAAAAATCTACCTAGAATAAAAACCAAGAGACTGCTAATTGGACATTCGCTTGGGTGGTTATAAATTGATGTTACACTGAATCTAAGGTGACTTTATCCACTCTGAGCTGTTTAATCTACCTCTGACCACCTATATTTTGCCTTGAAGTCTGTATCAGATATATGCATATGACCCATGTTGCTCTTCTAAAAGAACCTAAGAATGCAAACTTCTTTGCAGAGTCCAAATTAAAGAAGAGGAAGCCCATTCAAATATATAAATCCACACACTTCCTTTCATCAATGTACAGAGACATGCTCTGGAGAACTTGTAGATGAGGTGAATTACTTCTATATGCACAATATCCTTTGCTTATGTTAAAACCTTGAAGAACATGTAGGGACTGTACGGAAAGCTCTGCAGCACTTTTAGCTAAAGTTTTTTAACTGACTTCTTGAAGAGACAGGTAATTTATTTGGGAATGATAACCCTTGGCTGAAGTTGGATGAAGAATGCAGACAATGGTATGGCTATTCTTGTACTTGGAGAGAAACTACCAAACACTGAGGGGAAAAAAAAAAAAAATCTCAAAAGCAGCTAAGTTTGTCTTCCACCAGATGTCCATTCACAGATTTTCTACAATAGCAAAGTAAATCAATGATTTTCTGAAGAACAGGAAGGATAATAATCTGGACTGAAACTCTCCAATCATTTATATGAACTGAGTAACACTGGAGAGCTTCAAACCAGCAACTAGTGTCCCCATGACACAGCCCTCAGTTTTAGTCTACCCTAGTTATGACTGACAATTTCCTATATGTATCTCTTGCAGGAGTAGTATCAAAGCCAATCCCAGAAGAGAGACATCGGCTATGAAGCAATAAAACTAACTAGAACACAGAAGAATTGTCACCATCATCTGAAAAAAACTGAAGCTTCTAGATTTAAAAGGGCTGTAACTGCCAAATTTAATGACTCCAGTTAACTTCACACAATGCTTCCTGGTTTACAGTGACAACAACCTGTTAATTTATATCTTCATCTCAACATGACCACATGCCGTACTAGCAGCTTAAAGAAAAAATTGAACCTTACAGTTACTCTCATTCAAATACATTTTATCCACAAGAGTTCTCATATGTAAATATATATACATTCACAAATGGAAACCAAACCAATGAAGAACAAGCAAGGATGTTTTTATTTCTGTCTTTTAGTCTTTGAGTGGGAAAAAAAAAAAAAAAACAAAAAACAAAAACAAACAAAACAAAAAAAAAAAAAAAAAACAAAAAAAAAAAAACAAAACAAAAAAAAAACCAAAAACCCAAGTATCTTGTGTTAGTGCTACTACAAACACTTTTGCGATAGAGGATTCCTCTTGAGATTTACACCAGTCAGTAAAGCTATTACATGGAAAACATTTTGGCCACAGAAAGATCTCCCTATTCCTAAAATTCTTGACTGATCTTTGGCAAATAACCTAACAAAACAACAGGAGGTACAGCAGGACTGTTGTCCTAAAAGAGGAATATTTGCATTTGCAGACATGTATAGTGGGAAACCAAACTGTCAATTAAGCTGGCACTTCTTTCAGTATAAAAGAGGCAAGTATTATGACAAAGAGGTAAGACTTGAAGAAACTGGAGATGTAGCCATTCTCGTAACACTTTTGCTATACCAACTTCAGTTAAAACAACACCAGTGAATACTACCTTTTTCAAGAGTAAACAGGAACTTTAGTCATTAGGTATGATGGTGTGGTAACATCCAGGAGATTCCAAGCAGGTATGAGTATTCTCACCAGTTAAGCTTTCATCTGGTTTGGAGAAAAAACAAACAAACAAACAAAAAATCAATCAAATCATCACACAATGCATAACTAAACTATGAAACTAATTGGCACGGGGTACTACAGAGAAAATTAACTATAAAAAGTTTCAAAAAGCAACTAAATAAATACAATAAAGATAAATACACTAAGTGCCATTAATGGCCATACTTTTCTAGTACGTTATACTGCAGGGAAATGAGCTAACTATCAGTTTAGAAATGGATTTCTTGACATTACCACATAGTGTGGTTAGCCACAATATTGAGTGGGTAAAATTGTCCACCTGATGATTCGATCCAGTATCATTGCTGGTTCATTCATTTAATTTTAACTGTAAATCTGATTAATACCTAAAATATTTACATTTCTTGTTAGTTTAATGAAAAACAGTGATTTAAGTGTTATGATATATTTGGTTTTAACTTGCTGGTTACAAGCCACAGAAAGAATGGAGAGAATTTTTTTTCCTATTTTTCTTTCCAACAGCAACTTGTGCTTCAATTGGAAGTGTAAATAAAATTGCCGAATTTTATGTATAGGTGCAACATAATTTTGAATGAATTAATTTGTTCTTCACTTACACTCCTGAAAACATCAGTACATCTCATGACATATGCACATGAAATTTAATGGCAACTAATCACCTCACTTGGTACTCAGCTTCCTGTTGTGTAATGAAACACAGCCCAGGTTGGTTGTGACTGCCTGAATCTCTTATGTTTGCCTAATCATTACTTTTTCTCCATCAAAAATATAACTATTAACAGAAAACAGAACATAAATAAAATTTGTCAAAAGTTATTGTAAATGGTCTTTTTGGTGCAGTTAGTGTTTCTTACATAGAATTACAAAACTTAAAAAAGACAAAAAAAAAAAATCACATTAATAATGGTCCCTTAAAACACTTTAAAGATCAGGTTATCAACAATGACAAACAAATTATCAACAAACCCCAGACTAAACAGAGATACTAGAGTTTTGAAAAATAACCCCTATCAAGTTCTTGCCATAATCATTCAATTTAGCAATATTAGTCCCTATTGCATTTACTGGCAGAGATTATGCTTTTAAAAAACAGGGAGACTTCACCATATTAATTGTTTATAGGTATTTATCCTGTGACAGTGAAATGTACATCATTCCTTTAATGGTGAACATAAAGTATTTACTTATGTGCATCTCACTGTATTTTATTACACAAGAAAATACCATTCCCTAAAGCCAATATCTAAAACTCCATTTCAAGTCATTAGTTTTAACTTATAGCAGCTAAAGATCAATTAAGTCAGTATATTTTTATTACACCAAATAAACTGGATGGGTTGAATGAATTTTGTTCATGTTTTCACTGTTACAGTTTGCTTATATTAATTGTCAGTTAAGCTAATTGCTACCTTTGAAGCACAGTGGTTAACACTAACATACAAATACTGTTTGGTTGTTGTTTATTTTTGCCATAAATTAATTGCCATCAAAATCAACGTCTCACTGATGTGATAAATTACAAGGAAGTTGATAGTCTTCTACAGGCTTCAATAAGTTTCCATTCACTAGACAAACACTCCTATTTAAAAGGGTGAGGCAAATACAGTAGCAGCCACGGGTCAGCAACACATCCTCACATGTTATTAAAGTAAATTAATCTGATATTAATCAAACTTCCAAAGTGAAACATCAGTTCAAAGGCAACTGAGAAAAGCACCTGCTACTTAGACTCTCCACCTACAGCAAGTTTAACATTCAGACCATGAAACCAATGCTGCAGGTTGCACGTGGGCACAGAAACAGCATACACGGCTGGACTACCATTTAGGCACTAGGCTGTGGAGTCAGCAGTAAGAGGTCAGTGCGTTTGTCTGGAGAAACAAAGACGGCGTCTATACTGGAAATCAGACTACATAGGAGGGATGGGGCTGAACAGTGAGACAACGGGCAGCACGAGTCATTGCAAACTGGCAGCTGAAGTGGTGGTGACTGGCACAAGCCTTTTGTAACTGCAAAAACCAAACTAAGCAGCAAGAGTAAGAGGGTCCTCTGTGACCAGACTAAACCATCATCCACACAATACAGAAGCTGACCCACCTTCTTACAGCTATCACATCACAATAAAGTTCAGTCTAGTATTTGCAGTCTGGTGTTGGTAGCTCACTCAGCTGCATCTCTCTCCAACAAACTTCAGGAAATACATTCTGCCCTCAGTTGCCTAACAGAAATCAGTGAGGCTGCTCAGTTGTAAAAGAATAATTAATTCCAACAACATGGATTAGGAGCTAAACCTAAACCAGTCTACCTCTACTGTTAACTGATTTACAACTGGGATTAATAGGCTGTTGATGTTTGCATCCAAGTATATCAGACCAGACCATGACTTTAAGACAAAGCCCCCAGTTAGCAAAGAAAGCAGAAACAAAACAACCTAGCCAATAGAGTTGAAGAAGAGTATGATAAAAGTACAATACATCCCAAACACTGTCAGGGGAGAAGGGGAGGCATGGGGAAGCCTGATAGAAGAGTCTTAATGAATTAAATATATTCTAGCTTCGCTGCTGCCCTGCAGAGTACACAATCTTGAATATGTTTCAGTAAGCAAAGACTGAACAACGCAAAGGTGTTTTAATGAAGAGAAGGTGACCCAGGTGGAATGTGAAACAATATTTAAGAGCTATCTCAGAGCTAGAAATCAAAATCTCTTTCTGTTTTTGTGGTAATAAATTAGTGAACAGAGTCCTCAAAGCCCTTTCTTGTCCTCAAGCTGAACTGAAGCACAAGACAGTGCTCTAAATTCGGGTTTTGAAGCTATGTTCTTTGAGATTTTTCCTGCCCAGTAGGCATTTTGCAGAATAGTAGAAGCGGCATAGTAAGAAGTGTTCTCTCTTCTCCATCCATTATACAGTCTCACAAAAAGATTCTGTGTTGGTAGGAAATTGAGATTTGAATATCTTCAGGCCTATGAAGCACTAAGCTTTGGTCTTCCATATATTGAGCAAATATCCTCACCAAGAGGATATTATACACAACCTCATCCAACATTTGCATTTCAGAAAGGCAGCACCCATAGCTGTGTTTTGTCGGTGTATGATCATTTCAGAGTATGTTAGATTTACCTGGAACATTGAGGGACTTAAGCACTAGAAGGCTACTGCATGCAAGATGCACAAAGGGCCTAGATGTTCATCTTTCCTTCCTAATTCCAAGAAACTACACAGGCTAATTCAAGAGGTAAGAGTAGTTGAACTATTTTCTCTGTTTCGCTTAAACCGAACTAGATTCCCCAGCTAAAATGTAGCTCTCTAAAATCTCTATATAAAGTGTTTTACATACAATCCACTCATAATTTACCACATGTGTGTGACTCTTGATAGACTACATTGCTCTCAAGTGTTCACCACTAAAGCTTTTTACAATTAACCCTTTATAATCAACCCACAGAATTATGGAAACATAGAATGGTTTAGGTTGGAAGGGACCTTGAAGATCACCTATTTCCAGCCCCCCTGCCATGGGCGGGGACACCTTCCACCAGACCAGGTTGCTCAAAGCCCCGTCCAACCTGGCCTTGAGCCCTGCCAGGGAGGGGGCAGCCACAGCTGCTCTGGGCAACCTGTGCCAGTGCCTCAGCACCCTCACAGTAAAGAACTGCTTCCTTATATGTGATCTAAATCTTTCCTCTTTCAGTTCAGTTTAAAACCATTACTCCTCATCCTATCCCGACACTCCCTGTTAAAGAGTCTCTTCCCATCTTTCCTGTAGCCCCCTTTAAATATTGGAAGGCCACTATAAAGTCTTCCCGGAGCCTTCTCTTCTCCAAGCTGAACAACCCCATCTCTCTCAGCCTGTCCTCACAGGGGAGGTGCTCCAGCCCCTGATCATCTTCATGGCCTCCTCTGGACCCGCTCGAGCAGGTCCATGTCCTTCTTGTGTTGGGGGCCCCAGAGCTGGACACAGCACTGCAGGTGCAGTCTCACATAATGCAGTTAATTTCCAGATTTTTTTCCAAAACCAGTATAAACTCCCATATCCCCAGGTGCAGTACTCAGCACTGCTAGGTGGAAAAATATTTGCAGATCATTCTTATGCTGTCAGGTCTTTGGAAAATACATTCAGTATTTCAAGCAACTCATTATTTCATGTAGATGAACATACTGCATATTCAGATTCCCTCTTGAATTCATACCTGACATTGTAAAACAAGAGAATATGAATTATAAGACCCTTAAGCAACTTACGCAGAGGATTAATCCCATTGTAGTCTAACTGGGCACTGAATGTCACCATTGCTTCACACAAATACTGTGCCATTGAAAGTGCAATTACTAGACTGTAGATAAAGTGAGCCATAAAATGAGAAATCTCATCATATTTGACAGTGCATTGTGAAGCATTCCCCATTAAGGGATGGGAATAAAATGTTTATGAGCTAATTTATTCCAAACATGTTTGTAACTGTCTATGGTTAGCACTGTTTGATCTGAGAAAAGGTTATGCTGATTTGAGTGGGAAAGACACAAAACCTCAATCTCTGAGCATATACACCAAGTTTGAAATTTTTTTTCAAACTGAGGCTACATCAGAAATATTACATGCAGTCAAATGACACAAATTCACTGTTCCCTGGCGGCTAAAAGGAATTCATTGTTTCTCTGCTTTTATTGTTCAAATAACTGGGGTGTGTGTATTATTTTATCTTTGTCTTTCTTGCTGTCATATACAATAATACTGCCAGGAAAACTGTTCTTTTCTTCTTCCATACACCTACCTGCAGAAAAGAGGTGGGGAGAAGAAAATTGGTGTTTGTTAATGCTCTCACTGAACACCAACACAGGAAGAAATACCCAACTGTACAACATGGATGGGGGGGGGGGGGGGGGAAGAAAAGCTGTTAATAATAAAAAACTTAAAGGCATTACCTTCTGTATTTGACAAAAGCTGTTAGAAAATATCAAGCTCAGCAATATCAAGTAATAAAACACTAATGATTTTAAAAA